CTGAGCACAGCACACTCTTCGGCATTTCTCTCAGGCACTCAACTGTGTAGGAGGCAGCCACAAGAAGCCCCTCTCTGCATGCAGAAGCCTCTCTCTGCAGAACTTGGTAACCCTCTCTACCCTCCAGCGAGACATTAAGCAAGGGCAAATAAGTACCTCCTCACCCCAAGCGGATGGGGTTCCAGGGGTCATAGGCAGGTCAGCATTAAAGGAGAAATCCAAACGAAATATAAACACGGTATTGTGGAAAGCAGACCAATCTCCCCAGTGCTCTGGCCAGCATTAATCTCGGCATCAGCTGTGGTGCACAACCTAAACACACTGACCAGGCAGCTCATCTATCTGGAAGCTGTCATCTCCTGGAAGCTGGATGCCTCTGAAACAATCCATGGTCCAAGCTGGTTTAGGAACTTCTTGATGGGTCAAGAATGGTGGGCAGCATCGAGATGAGTTTAGAGCCCACCAACTGGCCCACATGGGTATGCCGGAGCCACCTGTACCCAACAACCTACTTTTGCTCCTCTCCTTGTGTTGTGGGCATTTGCTCTTTAAATAACCACCTCTTGTTCATCAAACTGTGCAGACGCACACCCTCAGTGGTGGCTTTGCAGACCCAATTACACCCTCAAAGCACTGTTCTATACAGTCAACTTATCCCAACTTAGTGGTTCTCAGCTGGACATCTAGCAATGGACACTAGAGCAGGGCTGCTGGCACCTAGGGGTGGAGTCCAAGGGTTCCCTACAGAGTACATAGCCTCTCACAGTGGCAGAGTGCCAAGGCCGAGCAACAGAAGGATGGTGGCTCTAACTGTGTGGACCACACAGAAAGCACACAGTACAGGCCCGAGAGTGTGACTGCCCAGCACGTAAGTATTTTTTTAAAAATGCAAAAACCATCCATTTCTCTTTAATACTCTTGTCCTCTTCCCTTATACTGCCTTAAAGCCCTTAACAAGCAAACACCAGGGGCAATATGGAGTCATTTCAAGGTTGTTGCCCTTTTCAGAAGAGAAGGCCAGCGGCTGGCTAAGCTTTTATCTCAGGAAGATAAATGAAGGTTCTGTCATAGGAGTACCTTGACAACAAACTTGTGACAGGGAACTGGAGTGAAGGGGAGGGGATGGGGAAGAATGGGAGGGGCGGGGAAGGGAAAGGAGGGGAGGAGTATGCAAAGGAAAATAGTTATTAAGGAGGGTAGGAGGACAGATCTGCTAAGGCAAAAGAAAGAGATGCCATTGAGAAATGGGCAGGATTTAAAAACCAAAACCAAACCCGTTTCTTCAGCACCCTGAGAGGCAAAGATGCAAGCACTTCTGTTATCAAGAAGGGTACCAGAACCACAGACCCAAGACAGCATCTTACAGGAAAAGCCCCGGGGCCTCCGCCACTGCAGGCACACAACCCTGCAGACCTTTCAAGCTACCAGATGCCCATCCTCACTTCAGTAACCCTGTCACTGGAAGGCAAGCACTGAAGGCCACCCACAAATTATTTTTTGAGCCTTCACCCTATCCTCTTCCTTCTGCCCCTCTACCTTCCTAAGCCTGGGGCCATCTCGGAAGTCTCCCTGGATTTTCCTACTGACTTGTCTATAGACGCTAATCAACCTTTCTCAGGGGTTTTGGGCAGGCACAGAGAACCTGCAGTGACCAAATAGCTCTACGTGGAAATAACCATTTGTGTTTTTGTGTTTCTGTGACAGTAGGTGCCCACTTTTGGGCCATTCACAAGTAAGCTTCTATTGACATCTATGACATTAAAAAAAAAAAAAATACACCCTAAGACTCAGAGTGGCACCTCACCCCATAATGGGCAGTTTCTTCAAGTACACCAACATCTTGACAGAATAAAGTAATCACATATGAATGGATGATGTGTATTTGTGAGAAAGGAAGGCAGGGAGAAGACAATAGCTTCTTCCTGTCCTGTGAGCGGGTTCATAAGCTATGCTGCTATGAAAAGTCAAAACAAAGATATGGATGTCAAGGAGATTCCATAATTTTCTGGCTGTATTAAAACTCTTTGGCAGATAAAATACACATAGTAAGCTTGAGCACAAAGGTAACTCATCACAGATCTTTTTTTTTTAAATGAGAAGAGAAATATCCTTTCCAAACTGTCCTCCAGCTTCCCAGCCTCCCTTTTTCCTTAAAATCTTAGTCTTTTCTCTCTTCTGTTGCTTAACTGGAGACATGTGAGACCATCCGTGTCTGGTGTGTACAGCCAGCTCTTGGCTCCTGTAATCACACCCAGAACCTGAAGAAAGCATCATGTAACAGATGACTTTGCTGACAGTGATGAAGAATTTAACTAAGAGACTAGAGCAAAGATGACCCTAAGCTTGGGTCTGCGCTCATTTTAATCCGTTGACTTCTACTGTCACCCACAACCATCAGGAATTCACTGCAAAAAGCAAATGCTCACAGTACTCTCGGGGCTGCTGACACGAACACTAAATCTGATATGCCATACCAAATGTTAACATTGAGTTCCTGTTGTCAAGTTTACCTACGTTTACAGAACTTACTTCTTGTAGAAGGCAAGAATAATAAATAAGTGAATGAATGAGACCAAGGGACAGCATCAGGCTAAGTGACCACCTGAATCAACCGTAGGCAGAGAGAACATGAATGGACATGTAGACCACCATTTACGGCCATGGTTTGAAAGATCCTCATTTGAAAAAGAGACAACTGTTACATGGAACATTATATACATATATGATCATGTTATAAAAAATAAAATAACAGATGTTGTTTGAGTTCTAGGGCTTGTGACAATTCTACCTGGAGTACGGTGGTTGCTCAAAAAGTTGGGACAGAGTATTAGGCCTGAGAACCAATGAGCCATACTAAAATGTCAATGCCTGGAGTTTGGAAGTAGCTCCGCGGAGGAGTGTTAGAAGAGAATGATGGTGAATAGGGTTCATCTCCTATAGAAGTAAAAAAGAAAAATCCTCAAGACGCCAAAAGCAGGCCAAGGGCCTGCCTAAGGTGTGCCCTCCCTGGCACCTTCCCACTCAGCCAGCCCCTTCCTACAGCTCACAGAATTCTTGAAACAATGTTTCTATCTCTATAAGCTTGTTGAAATCTATGGAAACATCTGCTACAATTACTAAACACCAGATTGTTGCATAGCCACTCTGTGGAAAAGGCCAACTGTGTAGCCTAGCTCTGTTTCTAGTCTACAGCCCTATGGTCAGTTCCTGTAGCAGGGAACTTGGGTCCTGGTGGTTACTTCCCCGTTCCAGGATCTTGCAGTGTGGCATGGTCCTTCTACACCATCTTGCCTCCTGTCTCTCCAGTACCTTTCCTACCTCAAGATATCCACTAAAGTCTTCTTTCTCCTAATTTAACTTTCATGAACCAGTTCAAGCGTGAACACATACACACTCAGTGAAAATGCACTGAATTCTTGCAGTCTGAAGCACAAGGCACCCTGCAGTATCTCCACCACAGCGCCAAGGAGAGTCAGAAACATTACATATACTAAGGAAACTTGTTGCTGGGGACATAGTGAGTACTCAATAAAACTATTCTCTGAACTACCAATGACAAAGTGAAGTGGGTAAATTACCTAATGGAATCAATCCAAGAGATACTTTTGTACTCATTAACCAAGCTACTTAAGGCAGGAATGTGTTCTGGTCTTAACAATTAGGATTATTATTTTAATTGTCACTTTTCAACTAAATACTCCACCATTAGTCTGCAAAACACTGAAAAACTAGGTTAACAGAATATTCTGGAAGGTTAGTTTCCAAGAGCATCCCGACACTGGTTACCTAAGAAATTACTCATTAACTCCAGTTTCCAAATTCTGTCTTGGGTGGCTTACAGTAGGCATGCTCCAGATATTTGGAGTTGAAACATCTGCCCAACTACCCTGATGTCCAAAGCAGTGCTTGCCAGAGGCTAAAATGTTTTCAAACAAGGGCTTGGTACTTTTCAAAGAGTTAACTGAGAAACGACTGACAAAGAAAGGAAAAAAGGAAAAAAAAGCCTATAATCACAAACAATATAAAAGCTTCCACGGTGGTGAAAATGGGGTGTGCTGGGGGGGAACAGCAAACCTATTTTCAATTTACAAGTCCTTTTATAGATCAGGTTCCATAACCCCCAAATTGAGGAACAAAAATAAAAGACTTGAGACACACAACACACTCACACACTGGGATGGGGCTCCGATGGCCCCTCCCATCAAACCTGCTGCATTCTTTAAAAAAACAAAAAACAAAACAACTTTCTTTCTTGCAAGGCTGCCAAACACTGCCTCCCCAACAATAATTCCATTTTAAAAAAACCCCACCCACGAGAAAACATTAATCTACTTTGCAAAAATGTGTTCCAGTTTGCGCTTTACTATTTTTTTTCAACTCTCCCCCCACCCCACCCCTTTTTTTTTGTACCTTGAGACAAATGTTTTTTTCCCCCCCAGAGTTGAAAGCTGTCCAAAAACAGGACCACACACGCGGCCGCCTCCGCAGGCCCGCGCGGCGCCCGCCCCCCGCGCGCCCAGGGGGCGCGCACACTCCCTGCAGCCAGAGGGGTGGCCTTGCCCTCCACCCCTTCTCCTTTCTCCGCAAACGCGGTGGGTGGGTGGGGGGAGGGAAGGAAGCAGAGGCTGGGAGCCCGGATCTGAGAGGCTTTCCCAGGCCGCGGCTCCACGACCGGAGCCAGGCAGGCGACCGTGCCGGGCCTCGAGAACCACCCCCCTACCCCGGCCCTGCAAAGTGGTCCGTCCCGCGCAGGGGCCCCGCGCCCCTGCCACTCTCTCCCACCACACCTAGCAAAGCACAGCGCCCCAAGTAGATTACAGCGCGGCCTTTGTCGGGCGTGCCTGGCTACAGGCCAGGCATGCAAACAATAAACAGTCGCCCCTGGTGCGGGCAGAGGCTTCGTTGGCTACAGGGAGGTTCTAGGTGCAGACTGGCAAATATCTTCATCAAACGGAGGGAAGGGAAGATGAAGGACGCGCCAGCGGCGCCGGGTCGCTTACCTTCCACCCACAGCTCCTCCACGTTGGTCTCGAGATTAGCTGCCTTTAATCCCACAGCGAAGGCCCCAAATATGAGGAGACCCACAACCAAAAACTTGCCGCAGTTCTTTTGAATGTAACAACCCAGTTTAAATAAGAGTCTCTGAAACTTCGCTCTCAGCCACAGCGGCGCTTTCCGGCCAGTAGCCTTCCCCTGGGGACAAAACAGAAGGAAGGAGTGAACGCGACGCCGCGGAATCGCTGTCCGCGCTCACCGGCCTGGGATGTCCCCCACCACACCCCGGGCAGCAGCAGCGGGGGATGTGGACAACCAAGGCGCAGAAACTCGCCCTCGGGGCTGGAACCTCGACAGTCTAGAGGGGGCTCTGGGGGTTGGGGGATGTGGCTGTAAATCAGGCTGCAGCGTGGGAACTGCACTCAAGGGACCAGGGGGCGCCCCCATGCGTGGCCTGAGCACCACCCCTGAATGAGACTTGGGGTGCAGGAGAGAGAGTCTAAAGGAGGAGACACTCCGAACAACCAGGCATTAGTACCGCGGACTTGGAGAGGCAGGGCCTTAGTGACTCTAGAGAAGCCAACACTACAGAACCACCAGAACAGGGAGCCCCTTCCCCTAAGTCCTGCTCCAGCCTTTGGCCTCCTCTGGTGCCCCGGAGGGCGGGTGAGGAGCGCAAGCGCACTTGGGGACAATATATTGCGACCGTGGCCCCCGGCCTGGCGTGGCTGTACGCCGGGTCCACGTGGTGAGCCCAACAGCCACAGCTCGCTCCACACACTTTTCCCCAGCCCAGCGCTAGGAGCCGCCGCAGGAGCTCACTTAGGAAGTGCGGCAGCCATCTGCAAACTTACACTATTTGTGCTCGGAAGAGGGCGGCCACAAGGATCTTTCCCTCCTCTCCCACTCCCTCCGGGTGAATTCTTTAAAAAAGGCGAGTGCACGGGGAAGAGGCCCAAGCCGGCGGGGGTCCTGACTGGGTACGGGCGGCTCCCGGGGCGGCGGAGTCCCGGTGCTGGCCAGGGCCCCAGCGGGCCTCGGGCTAGGTGCTGGCTTTCCCCGGATTCCACACATTGCAGCCAGCCTCGTAAACACAATGAACCCGGTCGTTCCACACAGCCGGACCGAAGATTTAAGGTGGCAACTTGTTTACAACCGGCCCTCTCCCCGGCTACCTGGGAGAAGAGGCGGCCCACAACCTGCAAGCGAGAGGACGTCCTCTCCCGAGAATAATTTTTAAGGGAGCAGAGATTTTAAGCTCAAAAAAAGCAGAACCGGCTGCCAAAAAAGGAAACCACCTTTACTTTGGCTCCCTCCCCTCTGCCTCTCTCCGCCTCTACTCCGCCTCCCCCTCAAAGAGGTTAAGAAATGTGGCAAAGCGGAGGCTGAAGCTGCTGCCGAGGGCAGGGGCGCGGGAGAAGGGCGCCGGGACCGGGGGCAGCGGCGCACCGCGGCCGCCCTGGAGGTGGTCCACTCAGGACGGTTTCCAAAGCTCCGGAAAAGGCTCACCAGGGAGGGCATGCGCGCGCACACACCACACACACGCGCGCGCGCACACACACACACACTCACACTCACACATACACACACACACACACGCACGCACGCACCCCTCCACCCCCTGCGGACCTCGGAAGTCCGGAGGGAGGGTTTGAAAATCTCAACCTTCATTCGTCTGCTGCTTTCTCAGGAGAGTGTGTGTGCCCGTGTGGCAGAGACCCCAAAGAGGAGGAAGAAGGGAGAGCGGAGCGGGAGGAGGGGACAGGCGTGCACCTTGGAAATCTGCTCCAGAGCGAAGGCGGCGTCGCAGTAGCTGGGCCGGTGCAGATAGTCCCGGTCCGGCGCGGCGCGGCGCGGCCCCCCGGTCAGTCTGCGCCTCCCGCCGCCGGCCTGCCCACCCAGGGCCCCGGCGGCGTTAGCAGCCGAGGCCATGTTGCCGCCGCCGCCGCGGGCTCCGGGCGCGCCTGGGCGCTCGGCTGGCGAGGACGCTGCTGGCCGCCGGGCTCTCCGGCTCCGGGTGACAGAGCCGCCGCTGCCGCTCACACGGCGGGCGCTGCGGGCGCTGCGGCCGCGGCCGCCGCCGGGGACTCAGACCCTGCGCCTTCCATTGCCACATTGCGCGTGAGTCCCGAGGTCTCTGCGGCCGCCGCTGCCCACATCCAGCTCGCGGGAGGGCGAGAGCCGGCGGTTCCAGGGCGCGCCTCGCGGTCCCCAAGTCCCCCCCAGACGTCCCCGCCCCGCGCCGCGACCCCTTCACGGCAGAAGGCGCGCGCAGACCCCCGCCGCTCGCGCCGGCTCCCTCGGCGCCCGCTGCCGGCGACGCGACGGTGCCCGGCGGGTCTCAGCGGTGTCGGGCCGGGGCAGCCGCTGCTCCCGCGGCTGCGGCTGGGGCTGGCGGTGGCGGCTTCCGAAGCGGCTGCTCGCTCTCAGGCTGCTGGGTTCGCGCTGGCTGCTCGGTCCCGGACTCTGCTTTCTTGTTCTCCTCACCGACCCGCTGGACCATTCTGCCCCCGCGCCGCGCGCCTCTCTCGCTCCCGGGACCTGGGGACTCCGCTCTGTGTGTGTGCAGCGGGCAGCGGCCGCAGCAGCTCCTTGACTCAATAGATGAGATGGAAGAAGAAAAAAAAGAACTCTCTCCATTTGGAGAAAGAGGAGGAGGAGGAGGAGGGGAGGGGGTGGAGGGGGAGAGAGCGAGCGAAAGAGAAAAAGGCTGGAACTCCCGCCCCCGGGGCTGTCAGATGGCTTGGGTTTCTGCGACGCGATTGGCTCTTGGAGGGCAGAAATTACTCAGCAAACATGACTATTATTAGCTGCTTAGCAACAGCTCACCAAAGTAGAGAGACCACCCAGGTAGGCAACCCCGTGTGTGCGTCCCCGGCTGCGGGGGGGTGGGGGGGGGTGGGCGCTCGCTCAGCGCCAACCTTCTCGCAGGCAATACTTCCATTAAGGAATGCTTCCCCCCTCCTTTCTTTCTTATTTCTTTTCTTTTCAACAGTGTCTTCTTTTTGTGAGACGCCTTTTGCGAGCGCGCGCGCATACATACACACACACACACACGCTCACACTCACAGGAGCATTTTGCCTCGCGGTAGACACGGGGGATATGTAATATTTTTTTTAAGCGCTTAAACAATTTCTGAGATTCCTCAAAGAAAACCCTTTTAGAGGCACTTTGGCCTCAAGCTGCAGCAAATACTGGGAGGTCCGGCTTGAATTCCCAGGCCTGCACCCGTAATGACAGGGTGGTGGATAGTGCGCCAATGTGTGCCAATTTTTTTTTTCTCCTCTTTTCTTTTATAACCAAAGGCAAGACTTAGACTCTCGCAGGGAACAACGCCTCGTATTAAGATAAACAAAATGGAAAGTTAAAGAGGAGAGCAAGGATGTTGGGAAAAGCCACCCTTTTTAAAAATCCCTCTCACTCCCCTAGCACACCCCACCCCACGCAAACACACACACACACAACAGCACAGTCCAATTTGAGTAAGTTTGTAAAGAGAAGCCAGAAACACCGTCTCGTAGAAGTAGAGGCTTTTTTTTTTTTTTTAAATTTGAATCTTTAATATATAAAAAGAACCATTTTTTCAGCAGGCCAGAGAAATGGACTGAAAGATTTCCTGATTATTTGGGGTTCATCTGGACTCCCCATTAATTAATCACATTCTTAAATAAAGTCGGTCTTAAGCTTTTAAAAAAAAAATTCGGTATGCATCCTGTAATATTTACTAGCGTGACGCAGAAGGGAATAAAGGCTTTGATGTCGAATTCATTTTAAACAGTTTGTGCTTAGATCCGGATAGTGAGTCCAGTGTCACTAAGATTTCTCGGGGATTCGCTTTACATTGAACATAAAAGGAAAACAAACAAACAAACAAACAAACGACGACGAGAGGGGAGGGAAGTGAATCCTGGAGCCAGCGACAAATTAAAAATTAAAGTATGCAACTACGCTCTTTAAAAGTAAAAAAAAAAAAAAAAAAAAAAAAAAAAAAAAAAAAAAAAAAAAAAAGGAAAGAAAACACATTCCATTCTCCAATAAGTTTTCAAGTTCCTCCTCTCTGCAGTAGACACCAGACCAAGAAATACGGGATTTTGCTAAGTCCTATTTTTCTTTTCCGATTTGAACTGCAGAGGGAACCGGAGTAGTGAGTGAGTAGCCAAATGAAGCCGTGAAATGGGGCAGTGTGGCTTTAAGATGCACACGGTGTGTGTTCATTGAAAAAAAAAAAAAAAGAAAGAAAGAAAAGGAAAGAAAGAAACCCAGATGGAGGGAAAGGGGGAGGAGCAGGAAAGAAGGCGGAGCCTGGTTCGCCACGTGACCCACACCAAGAGGCCCATCCGCGCGCCCGCGTTAGTGCGCGGCCGCGCGCTCCGGCCTTGGGCCCGCGGGCGGGCGCGGGCGCGGGAGCAGCAGGTAACAGGGGGCGGCGCGCTGGGACTGAGTTCTCCGAGCCCTCACAGCGGTGCGCACCGCCACCCCAGGTCCCGGACGGTTTGCGCGCCCTACCGGAGCGGACAGACCTGCGGGACACGCTGTAGTACATTCCTAAAGGCGGCCCGGCCCCCTTGTGCTGTCCAATGCGCGCGCGGCCTCCCCGCTGGCGGCCAATGGCAGCGCTCCGGCCCTTCCATTCAGCGGCGCCGGCTGCGGCTGGCTAAGGGGCGCGCGGCCACCGGCTGAGCTTGCGGCTCAGGGGTGGGGGTAGGGGAGGAGGCGGTCTTCCCCTCCCACCAGGCTCCAGTCCTCTGTAGCTGGCCAGCCTGCCTCCCCTCTAGCGTTGTCTCCTTCAGGGCTTCCCCAGGACGCCTCGCCATCCTGAATTCCAAACCCGCAGAATTCGTGCGTTTCCTTAAGTGGGGTGGTGAATCTGAGAGAACAGAGACCAAGTAGATGCATTTGGGGGTGCTCACAGGATAAGGAAGAGGACCTGGGTGCCGCGCCAGCGCGGAAATTCAAAACTCTTAACACCAGGGTACACGTGATTTTCAAAGGACTAACTTTCGGAAGAGCTGCTAAAAATCCTGAAAAGAAGGCGTGCTGAGTGAGGGGAAGGTACTACCTTAACCGCGAGTCAAGTGCTGAAAGCAGGCCTGTTAAAACAGGGGTCAATCCCTACTCTGATAAATGGTTTGGTTATCAGCATAAGGGTGGACTGCTATTTCAGCTTTCGCATTTCGTGCTCTTAGAGTTTAGATTGTTTTTCGAAACTTGAGGGTGTCATAACGAGTTCAAAGGTCAGTTCTTTCTTTCTTTCTTTCTTTCTTTCTTTCTTTCTTTCTTTCTTTCTTTCTTTCTTTCTTTCTTTCTTTCTTAATTTGAAGCTTGCTGTATGTATGGCAGGCAAGGTAACCACATAGCCCTATAAAAGTTCTTTCCAAATTTTTTACAATGTTTTACTTCTAAGTATTTGGTGTTTTCCCCTCCCAGGTTTTTACTTCTTTGGTTGCTGTATAACTGTTTGGATTCTGGGATTCTAGAATGAAACCACAGCCTAGCTATGCAATGCCTCTTCTACTCGGGCGCTTTTCCTTCGGTTTGACTTAATTCTTAAACGTTTTGAACATGGAACCCCGAGGTTTGCAGCGCTATGCAACCCCTCGCCCGCTGATAGGTTAACTTTTCAGCGTCTTAGACAATGGTCCTGACCTGTAAATTCTACCCGTAGGTTTCAGGACGCAATCCACAGGCTCTCTCTAACAAGCACTATCTTAATCTCCCGGCCCCCACCCGCCGCTTCCCCTGTGGTCTGCTTTTTTCATAGAGATGAATTACTTTGGGGATCTAATTGGCCTTGTTTCTGTAACGTTTTAAGAAAGGGAAGAGGAGCCAGTCTAAAAAGGCTGCTCGACTTGGGTGGTCAGGGCCGAGGCTGCCCCCAATTTGCCTCATTGCTGATGCATGCGAGTGTGACATTCCCGGCGATAATGTTGTTCCTAATCAATCTACCCTTATTTACATTTGTAAGCATTGTCGGCTTTAATATGCATGCCCTGTGCAGGGGACCGCTGAGCCACACCGGGTTTGTTAACTTCCAGCTAACCGCAAGGATTCCACAGACCTGAGGGGCAGAGTGGAGGAGCCAGGCCTGCTAAGGTGCCTGCAGGCAGTACAGTCCCTTTAAGGGTCTTTGCCTGGTGGCTCCCCAAATAACCCAGCGCTTAGGGCCTTCACCAGCAGGAGCTGCCAGCCTCTGTGAGGCCACTGCTGAGTGACCATCCTCTCTTCCAGCTCAAGTTCAACTGAAAACATAAACTGTCAATTTTTTTTTCTCTCCCCATCACGAACCAGGTCTGAGTCTATAGTTTCCAAAACAGATTCCTTCAATGCTCTGGATTCCCTCACTGTCTTCTCCCCACTCTGTTCCAGGGCTTCAGATATCCACAGCCATGCCACACACATTTCAAAAATGACATCAGATTGTCCAAGTGCTAAGATGACACTTGAGATAAAACATCTGTCCTTTGTGTGGGAATGTTCCAATGTTGCAAAGTTAGGGGTGCCGGACTTGTTGAGGCTTAACTTTTCACTGGCTTCTCAGATGAAACTGAGAGAATCTTTAAGATCCATAATCATGTGGTCATTTTTGCAGTATACAAGTCAATAAAGGGGTAACGATGTTCCAGCCATTTGATCTTAGGCTTAGTCATAATTTTCCCCATCAAGTTTAACAGTCTTCCAGAAATCGAAAGAATTGCAAATATGATCCTAAGTCCTACAATATTCTTGTTGCAAGGTTGGGATGCAGAAAGGAAGGGGGTGGGATGTTTTATTTATAGATGTCACAAGGGTAGGAAAGAGATAGGGAGGGGTTGTGGTGTTCTATGCATGGATGGGTAGCCCAGGATACAGGGCATGCATGGGAGGCCAGAGCCTGGGCAGTCCTAAGCGTCTTGGATAAAAGTTAGGTCTTAAACCAATCTGACAATCTTGCCCCATTTTCTTGGCCCTTATTCTAAGATTGTCTTATTTGCTCACTGGCAGACTCTGTATGTATACAGACTGTACAAGGAGATAGCAGAAAGTGAGCCTAAAAAGGGTTTCAGGGAGGAGAGAAGGAAAGATCCAGAAACCAACCATTGGGCTTGACTCCCCTCACTTCTCTCCATCCCCAGTTTCCTGCCCTTACTAGCCCCCCCAACCCCCCACGCCAAAG